AAAACTAATAATTTAAGCAAATACTTTTAATCAATGGGAGAGATTTTTAATGAAGTAAGAACTGCCAACAGCTAATAATAATAGTGTTCTAACTTTTGAGAGTTAGTTTATAAAAATTATTGTATATTATTAGAAATCTATTTTCGAGTAATTATTTTTACTCAAGTAATTGCTTCTACCCGACTATAGATATTAGTGTGTGTCTTTACATTTTTGCTTCTATTATATTTGTCCCTCATATCTTGTACTAATAAATTATGCTTATTTCATTATTCTAAATGAATGGGATTTATGATTGTTATTATTAACAATACATTCCGATAAGTTAAGTCTAAGAGAAATGAGAACCAATTAGCAAACGTTGCTCTTTGTTTTGGGATCAGTGGTCATAAACCTTTTGAAAATATTAAACAATAGATGCGCTCCTTTTTGATCAATATCCCACAGAAGTAGCCTAAAATGAAAGGTGGAACAAAAGATTAACTATCATATTTTTATCTTTATTACTCGACGTTTGTGCGAGCGCGGTGCATATAATATAGAGATAACAGTATTGTTTTTTTTTTCTTAGAAAATTCACAGATTTTTTTTTCATATTCTAAGCAGTAATCACCTTTAATTCGTATCGTAAATGTTTTTGTGTATTTGTGTATATACCAAGGTATTTATTATTAGAAGGCTAAGGAGTCTATTTAAAAAATTGGATTGATTTAGAAATCAAATTTATTTTATGTTACTTTAATGGAACATAATTTTGTTCCGTTCCGTTTTTAGTAGAAATATAATTTGTTGTTTCTCACCAAAAAGTACACCAAACAATATAAGAATTGTTGTTTTAAATATTATGAAATGAAACTAAATCTGATATTTTATAATATTAAAAAAAAAACAAATCATCTCCAACCTATACTTAAACGAATACCTCTATTATTATTTATATGACTTGTCTTCAAATCGAGCCAGAATGCATTTGTTACTTATTGCTTATAATGATTGTGTGACGCATACATACAATGACGCATACAAACTTGACTATACGCTATGTAGAGTCAACTTTCTGGCTCAATCAGTGCAGTTTTTTTATATAAAGAATATCTTTGTTTTTTATTTAAATAAGTAAAGATTATTATAATTTTTAAGAATGCATACGTTGCTTTTGTAGTTTCTGAAAAACAATTTGAAAAAATTAAACCGACTTAAAATTTATACCAACATTTTTTTTAGGTCTGTGTCATTAGTAAGAAGTAAAACAGCACTATCAGAAATTCCATTTTTCTCTTAATATACATAATATTTTCCTTATAATACCTTATCAATATGGAATAGCCACTTTAATTCGTGGTATTTTTTTTTTCATTTTACAGTCGTTTCTCTTTAGTATGATTATTTTTAAGTCGGTTTTTTTTTTTTCTTTTTTAATAATAGAAATTACCACCGATCCTTATTACTTACTTCAAACTTAGATTGAATGGATACCTTCGTCTGTATTTAAACAAACTTATATTTACCTGATTAATATTAACTGTGATGGTTGCGGTTCTAACCTAATTGAATTTACTAACTATTATGATAACAGTCGTCCTCCTTTTGTTTTTAATTGGTTAAAAAGCAGGTCGCAGGTTAGATCGGTTTATATCTCTTGGAGGTCTATACAGAAACTGCGTTAGAAGACTTGTTTGACGCAGGGATTTGATGAAAACACGAAAATGAACTGAAAACGCTCGAATAAGAGAAATAAATTATGCAACATCATACATAACCCGCTCTTAAAAATGACGACCCGAATTCGAATTCACTAATGTGTCCGAATGTCACATTATTTAGTGTAGAAATTATATTGATTCCATTTTTAGTAGAAAAAATTCAAAACAAAATTGATTAAATATACGTGTCTCATTCTATTCCTATGTCATTTCGAAACTCACTTAAGCCACGAAATGTTATTACCAATGCAAGGTTGAGCGGATGCCGCTCTTTGAAGTGAATTTTCGGAAATTTGAGTAAATTCGAATTAGGATTTTTACAGAATCGTCTCAGACATGAATGAGTCTAATCATTCTCTCCTTTAAGGCAATTAAAATTTAATATATTTTAAATACTTATGTGTATGCGTCACACAGTAGTTTCTAAAATCAACGTAGTTAATCGATTGTTATCGTCCATTTTTAGTTAATTATATGATGCTTTCGCAATACCTTTGAAATTCAAGTAAATGGTATTATTAGCTAATGCCTATTTAATGACGACATTGAAAATGTTGCAAATAAAAACTTGTTTTAAATGAGACGGGTAATTTTTTTTTTTTGTATCGATAGTCTATGTCCGGAATAATATTTGTCGTGTTTTTAATTGCATTTGATAATGAGAATGACGCGGAATTTTTCGAACCGGTGCAGAAACTTGATGGCGGCGCCCAAGTTTCTCCAAGTTTTCAGATAGACTGTTTAAAAATTCACATCATCAATATAAATAAGGGCATTCTTTGCTTGTATTATTTATTAATGACTAAGAATAACACCCCTTTCTTAGTGCAATAGATGAAAACTTAGAGAAATCAACATGGTAGTATTTATTGAGACAGATGTTAGCGCATTAAAAAAAGTTTAATTAATTAAAAATTACCAACCACAACCTTTATAAAAACTTGTGGTATTATTTCAGTCTTTTCATTCGTTTTTCTTTTTTTTTATTACAGGTTAGTTGGTCTTAATTTCTTTTCTCCCTGTCGGTTTAAAATTGGTGTTTTGATTCGCGCCTCTTCACACATGCCTCAAAAACCTCCCTCTCTTGAAACTTCTGTCGTTCCCATAATTTACTTGTCCATATCCGGATTCTTTATTTCCGGTCGGCCCAATATTCTTCTTCCACACGTCTCGTTCTGCCGCTATATCATCTGACGCACAGCCTATCCAGTTTCTTCTGTCTTCCTCTCCTTCCATTGAGGTCCACATTCACGCTCATAACCTATCCGTTTTTTTATGAATTAGAATATAGATGCTATGCTATATGCTGATAGAGACATATCAGCCTCTACATGGTAAATACTTGTCTTCGTCATAGACTTTTCAGTGGTATGAAACATTACTTATTTGTTTTTCACATTATTTATATAAGACTAGTTGTTTTCTCTGACTTCACCCGCGTCAGTTATACCCTATGTCCCCCGCGTGTGATGTAACTACCCGTAGGTGAAGCAAATTTGTTTCGGATCCTATTCGATGCAATCAAACATACAAGCAAACGATTAAGTCTCTCCTCTTTTTATTATTAGTACATTTTTGCAGTAGAAGTTTTCAAAGTTTCTACTTTAAATATTTTTTAGAAGAATCCATTTTTAGAATAGTGCTTGAGAGCTGTGAGACACGTTGTATAATATTAATAATTATGGCATAAGAAAACTCTATACCACTAACAGCCAGTTGCACAAACGTCTTTAAAAATTTTCATTAATTTAAAGCGACATTACCCATACAAATTTGACATTCATTAGAGCTTAAAGGCGTCATTAAACCTTAATTGACGTTTGTGCAACTGACCGTAAGAAGATTAAATGAAAACGAAGTAACATAACATTATTAATATCCATTTCTGTGAATAGAGTTTTTAGAGGTAGAGGATCCGAAAAATGTTTAGACTTTATAGCTCAATTTATAATGTAATATCAAAAAAAGCAAGAAATACATCTATATATATAATAGTCTTGCGTTACTGAGAGACTGAGCGTAGAAAGTTGAAATTCGGAATGAAGATTCCTTAGGGAGCGTAGAGAAGCACTAAGAGAGGATTTTTGAAAATTCCACCCCGAAGGGGCTAAATGAGGGGATGAAAGTTTGTATGAAACTTAGTTACTACAAGTGCTAGGAGTTTCAAAATTTGCATGCGGGTTCTTTTTAGGACGTAAGTGCTCACTAAGACGGGATATAATTAGACCCCGGTTATTTGTCGGGTAAATTAGGAGATGGAAGTTTTTATGGAATTTTCTCATTTCTGGAGTTTAAACTAGACCACGCGGGTAACAGCTAGTCTAGTTATATGACGATGCGTTTGAAACGGTTTACTAGAAATCTATCTAGTGTCGATGAATTATCTATGAAATACGTTCAGATTTTCTATTGGATGTTATAAATAATAAGTTGTCATCGCACGCTTTACCAGCTCTGTGTTTCGTATAATATAGAAAATTATTTGAATTTTTTTGCTATTCATTTTCCCATATATCGTAATTTTCAAGAGACTCCCAGCCATGTCGACGCCTAGTTAATAAAAACACTTATTAGCCATTTATTTGTGTGGTGAAACCTCTTTCTGATCATCCACCGTGGGACCGATTAATTTCACGTGAAATTAGTTTTGCAATGTGACGTAACTTGTTTTACCTATCTATTTGAAACAGGTTGCGTTAGTTAATTTCATCTAAGAAAATATGTAATAGCTGCGCCCTGTGGTAATAGCTGCTGTGAATATTATTTATCCCACTTCCTACTAATATTATAGATATCTTACGCAAATCATATCTAGTAGAGTTGTTGTATTTAGATTTAAATTAATATAATTAAGATTATAATCATAAGTCTTCTGTTGCAAAGAATTCTGAGCAATATTTCCGATTTATTACGTAACCACAAAGTTTTCATCGCATCGTCTCAAACATCCGACATTTTGTAACTGAGAGCAAGCTACGGACAAACTTGTCTACGTGAGTAATTCAATTTAATAACAAGGTAAGTATTGTTGTCCACTTTGGCTAGAGAGAATCAACTTTGTATACGTTTCGTTATGTGAATCTGGCATATTTGACGTGTTCCTATGTACAGCAGCCTAATATTTTGTATATTGTTATCGTCAGGATATGTGTATTTTATTTATTTATTTATTTATAAAGCGCGGAAGGCGATATCGCTGCGACCTCAGCTCACATCACACCTATTTTGTTTCCCCGCTGCCGTCTCGAACGCCATGTTGCCCCGATGCGCCCGCCGCTCAACTCAAGTAAACCCGCCAGTTTAACGCGGACATTCATATCGTTCGGACGCGAAAGTTTCGTAGCGAGACTCGTATCGTCCGCACGCAATCCCACGGATCGCAGTGTTCGAAAAATTTTAAAAATAATTTTATTGAATTTTTTCTCGTAATCATGGTGCGTACTAAAGACGGGGACGGTATAAAAAGTAACTTAATAGTTACCGAAGTGCAAAAGAGGGCATGTTTGTACGACACGAATGATCCTAATTACGGAGATAGGGCGGAGAAGGCGAGGTGCTGGGAGGAAGTGTACGAGTGCGTGGTGCCGTGCTGGATCACTCTCGGGCAGGCTGAGAAGTTATCAGCCGGTATGTTGGAGTTTTGTATGTTGTCTATTTGCGTTATGACGCGCGTGCGGCGGCGGCGGCGGTCTGCGGCAGCGGCCGGCCTGCGATTGTTGCGTGCGGCGGGCGGTTGCGTGCTCTTTGTTTGACGGCAGTCGCCGTGCCGTGGACGGATTCTTTCGAAACGTATTACCTAGTACGAAATGACGTTTGCTAAGGCACGTGGTAATATTATATATTCGGATTTACTCTCTGCGTGATATTGAGCCCGCCATTTTGTGCAGATAATATTAGTAGTCTTATTGCAATAGCGCATCCATATTCTATTGAACTGATCTATTAATTTTATCATCGGAACTTAATTAAGTTTAAATGTTAATTTTACATGCAGTAGTTATTTTTTCTAATAACAGTCGTGCGTGGCAAAAATTAACAGTTTATAATCGTGCAGTTAGGTACGTCATATTTTTTATCTTATAGTAGGTACTCTTGAACCTTTTCATTTTATATAAGTATTTAATGCTCATATCCGTACCAAGACCCGTACAAATCATGTCCGTACAAAATCAAACTCTTTGAATTTTAAAATATAAATCTTAAGATTAAAATCTTTAGCAATAATAATCAGCACTATCTAAAAAGACTCGAGAATTTCATTTTTACATGCTGCAGATAGCGGCTTGCGTCAATGTACATACGCAGTAATTTAGTTCCATAAATTTATCTATTTATTATAGGGCGTTAGCGACCTAACGAACGATATCATAATAGACATTCGTTCTGTCCGTCTCTTTGATTACAGAACCAATGTCTTATTATTAATACAATTTGTACAAATTGATAATGGCCAAATAAGCTTTTAATAACAAAGATTTTGTCGCAGCGTGATTTTATAAAATTTTCTCTATACAAAAAATCACTTGGTTCTTCCTTAAAATATATTTTCTTTTACAATTTTGACTTAGGTATAATTATACTCTTTTTATATCGAAAATTCATTAATATGCGAGTTATATTTATGTAATACTTTTACAATATTTGTAATGGTTTGCGTGTAATTTATTTAAAATAGTATTTTACACGCTATAACCCTATTCTCGGTCCCTACTTCATTTGTCTCCTTTTATACTTGACGCTCAACTATTAATTGTCATGATATTAATATTTGTGCATAATTATAAGTAACTGCACATTCTTTTGTTACACTCGAGTTAAAAATAGAGATTCGCAAAAGTAGGTATCTCCAGATTTGTCCATGGAGTCAGGTGTGCGTCAGGACGACTCTTCTTTCTGTCGGAGTAGGGTCGCCAGGCGGCCAGTTAAAGGACATGGTTAGGTTTTTTGATTGCTTTTCCGGCTTTTTGAGTCATATTTATTTCGAAAGTCACTCGAAATAATGATCTTAGTCTGATTTTGCATTCGATTTTATTTATATTTCATTACAATTTAATTTTTTTTTACCCAAATGTCCGGCCAAACAGGCGGATCTGTCCAGCTATTAGATTCAGCGATCTGGTAACCCTATGTCCGAGTGTTTGTGCGCTATCGTCACGCATTACGATCGAACATATATTCATACGGATTTTCCGTCCAAAATTCCAAAGATATGTTGTTCTCACCAAAGGATACGTGTTGGTTCGAGTCCACCTCAGAGTGCCATAGACGAAGTGGATTTTTAAGCGTTTTTAATTAAGAATGTTTTTCAGTATGGTGTTGTGAATTATAAGTTGATTAAATATAACAAAGGACACGTTGATATAAAATTATAAACTTTTTTTTTTGTTAAAATATTGCGACTTCGTTCGCGAGGTTATGAAGATGCACTTGTAATTAGGAAGTTTTATACAAACTAATAAAATTAATATATTTCGTGAATTATATGAAAGAAATCAACGCTCTTTTTCCGAGAGTGGCGTACTCTTGATTGACCAAGCAAAATCGGAAAATCTTTTTTTTTATGATGATGATGATGATGATGATGTATTTTTTGGCTCTTCTGTATCATAATTCATAAGGTAACAGACTTCTGCCTTATATGAAAGAATTTTTTAAATAGCTCTCGTAGTTTCGGTGACAGACAAACAATCAACTCTTACTTCTTTATAGTATTAATATATTAATAGTAACATTTAAATACCGAACACCTTTTTACTTTACGGGAAACGATGTTAAAAAATACTTTTGAACTGAATAAATACTTAGTATCGTATAATACAATAATTTAATAAGTTACATTCCAATTTTATGTATGGAACGAACGGGAAACATACCTGTAAAACAAGCAGATAATCTTATAACTTAAATTTTATTAGTTTGCTTTTGCTATGACTTTAAAATAAAAACTTTTTTTTTTTGCTTGTATTCGCTGTGACTTAATGAGTTATTATAACATTACATGTTTTTATGTTGTTAATATTACCTACTTTCCAACATATTTAACTGCATGAGTGTCGAAATCTTAGTCGAATGTAATTTCAAATTAAGTTTCTTTTTAAGACGGAACGTTGTTTAGATATTCGTATGGTTTTTTATTTAGTTTTATATGTAAAGGTAGGTAAGTATTTGTAAGTTCAGATTTTTTACTTCAAAACAGCAGGTGTATTTTAATTCAAATGAACGATTTCTTTGCGAGGTGGTTAACAAATTAATAAAACTTCAATTGAAGTCAGTTGATCGATATAAATAATAAAGAAACGTAAGCGTTTCCATCACACTTCAAAACCAGTCTCTTAAATTGGGCTAAACGCCTTTGTTTTTATAAATTAAACCTATGTATTTACAGAGATAATTTCTCCGCGGAATTTTTATTTATTAAAACTTATTTATTTCCAGATAATAATGGTAAGAATACTTTTTTTTGTGTACTTACAGACCGCCTAATTAGTTTTTCATTGCGGTTAAATTCAAGGTTGTTTTATAACAATAAAGCCTTTACCTTTATATTTATACTTGAAGTCGATCGTGTGACTCAACGGCCGCATTGGGTTAGATCCATTTTAAAGTGTCCGTCCGTTTAAACATGTTAAAACTAAGACCGTTACACCCGTCGATATTCATCATTGATACATTGTAAATGCTGCTCGAATATTTCATATCGAGTCATCACGTACGGTTAAGCGTATTGTCAAAATGAAATACTTAATTAAGATTTTTTTTTTCGCGTGAAAAGTGGCTAACGTTACTTTATGTTATATAACACTCCATACCACAGAACACGCTAAAGATGTACGAAGAATTCTCTGGTTCATACAATAACGAATACCGTTGCTATGTGTAAGAAAGACAAACAATCGGACTTCCCGTTTTATATTTTCTTACAATATAAAGCTTATTTGTTGAAATTAACATTAATATTATTTATTTTTACAATATAAACCTTATTTGTTGAAATTAATATTATTATTATTTATTTGCATTGATACTTATCAATGTAAAAAGATCTTCAATGTAAATATAAGTTATGGGCGTTTAAAGCCCTATTACGTTCCGACTGTGATTTTTGCGTAAAATGTTATTTTTTGGCATTCTTGATCTCGGAATCAATGATTTAGGTATAAATAATTATTAGCATAGATTGTAACGGATTCACTTTTTGTAAATTGTGCTTTAATTTTTAATTAAACCCAAAATTGTACAGAAAAGTTTTTTTATAAAATGCGCGATGGCATTTTTGAGTTTCCGGGTTAAGGTCTAATCATATGAATAAAAACAGGAAATAATGTCATATAGTTCTTAACGGCCTCGAAAAGTTGTTAAATAATTTTAAAAAACTCTTATTAACCAAACAACTTCAAAAATAGCTGTAGGTTAACTGTGAATTTCTCCTATCTACGATAATATAATTGAACAAAATTTACAAAAAAAAGATAGTTGCTAGTTCTCTCAAGTATTTTTCAGTTTGCAGGATCTCTACTCTAATTTGATGCCAATAATCGTAACCGTGTAATGTAATATAGCGTAGTGGATGTCGACGCATCATCACGTTGATAAATTACCATTAAAATGCCGCATTGTAGCTATTGAAATAACCCTGTTTGAAACCGCGTCAACTATGAGACAGGTAAACCGCGCGGCGTCGCGCCGTTACGCAAAACATACAGTTTAATAAAACATAATTTTAATAAAATGACGTTCCAAATAAAGGTTTTTATACGATACTCTGGAAATTTTAAACTGATCTTATTCAGCTGAATAAAACTGTTCATGTTCGCTTAAATTGGATATAAATGATAAACTGCAACAACTGTCTAAGAAGTATTGTCGATAATCGCGGAGATTTTACTAAATCGATCAAACCGCGTTGTAGACAAACGGGAATATTCGGTGTGCACACGCTTGCAAATAAACGACCTCTGGCCGTTTACGCATAACCCTCCTATGTTCCGTTGATAAAAATATTAATATATGAACGATAGGAAATGACTATTCCGTCATGTTTTTTTTTTATATCTTCTTATTATCTCAATATTGCAACAAAAAACTTGATCGTCTACTCTCTGGATACGTCCTCGTGTCGTAACACACGCCATTACCGTCGCAAAGTTTCGTTTCGTGAAACGTACATTACTGTTTGATACACAAGTTTCAAAGTACATATAAGTTGAATTAGAGCAATGTATACTGTACTTATCGTTAAAGGTCGTTGTCGTGTATTCTGAGTGAACGGGTGTGTTCGTGACTCAATAGGCGTTCGTCGGCTAGGGACCGACCCGCGCGCCTTGTTCGTATCGTACCATACGTCAGGTGCTAAGGCGGTGTATAAAATTAGAAAATGAACTTTATCGCGCAACTGCCTCCACTAAAGCTTATTTTTTGTCCCCACTTTGCCGGTTATTGTCCTTCCTAATAACTAACGTCCGTTTCATATCTAAGTTCAGTGCAATTATAATTAAAATTCTAAGTTTTATTGTTTTATGTCGTATAATATTACGTTTGTGTTGGCTACCTATTATTATTACACAAATATAAAATGTTTTCCATATTTTACTTTTGAGTTTCACATAATACTACTTAATTAACATTTA